GCTAGCGCGGATCAAAGAGAAGGGACAAAACAGTCTCTCGTCCTTCCTTTCCTTTATTCAACCTGTTACACGTTTAAACAATACGATCGAACTATTATTAAAAGAGGAAGAGGAAGAAGAGGAAGAAGCGAAAGAAGCGAAAGAAAAAAAAAAAATAGATCAATGGGACGAACGAACCGTATAAATGTAAGTAAATGTAGAGAATTGCGCGAGGAGGAAGAAAAGAAATTTATACAGACATTTTCGAATTTGCCTGAAAAATCATGGTGATCCTCCTCGCTTCTCGATTCATCCTTGCTCGACGCTGGCGCGAGTTCCGTCGAGTTGACGCAGGAGACAAGTATTCGCGCAGCTTCTTCGAACTTTCATCCAACCTGACATCCTCCCGTGCCTTCCAGCATTTTTAAAACCGATACCGCAACTGCACTGTACTTCGGAACAGTCAGAGGCGTCGCTCTGGATCTGACACCCGTCTACGTTCCACTCGTTCAAACCCAAACTGCTCTCTGTCTGAAGCGTTTAAAACTGTAGAGTATAAGACAAGGAAGGAACGATTATAATAATATATCACACTTATCGGTATATACGTTCGTAAAACTTAACGTACGAGACCTACGACGGTCTCTTTTCTCTCTCTCTCTCTCTCTCTCTCTCTCTTTCTTTTTCGAAAGAGGGAGGATATAAAAACTTCAAATCCAATCCTATTATCCGATCTCTCGAAAAGAGAAGGAAAAGTACTTACTTGATAAGATTCCTCCGACTCGTATGCACCGATAGTATCGAATTCCTCGTTTCTCACGGAAGATTGGGAATCGGCGTAGCGCGGGCTAGCTATCGATCGTTCGACGATCGGCAACGACAATTCCTCGTCGCTGACTCGTTTCTTGATGCGCGTCAATATCCAATCGCGATCGTTCGAGCTGGTCAATTTTTCCAATTGGAAAATAATACATCTCTCGTGCCTTCTATTCAGGAATTTCCTATACCTCCACGCGAAATTCGTTAAAAGTAGTTTCTGCAAATTTATCAACTTTTTCCTCATCCTTTCGATCTCGATCCGTAACCTCTGCACGGTGCATTCGTACTTTTTCACCATGTCGTTCCGATGTTTCTTCAACGAGATCATCTCCCGTTCGTTTTCCCGCAGCTGCAGCTTTATCGTGCAGAGCTCGTCACAGACCTCGTTGCTCTCACCCTCCCCGCAATACGTCTTCTTCACCCGCGTATCCCGTGAAATCGGAAAACTCGTTCGGGGATCGAGAAAGTTATTCGCTAATAATGTCTCCTCCAAGTTTTTCCTCGTCTCCTCGAAATAGGTCAACCTCTCCCTCGCGCGGCGGACGTTCTCGCTCGATCGGCCGATTTCCTCCCCCAAACTTTTCACCTTCTCGTCGTTCGAGTCGTTCACCACCGCCATACCGTCGATCTCCATCTTAAGAGAGATCAGCTTGTCGTCCCTGCTTCGAATTTCCGTCGACAACCACTTCAATTTCATCTCGAGCATCGACTGCGTCTCCAATTGTTCCTGCAACTGCACGCGATAATTGTTCCTCTCCTCTTTACACTTTTCCAAAACGATTTCGAACTCGTCGATCTTCTCGCGCAATCGTTGCAACCTGAACAGATCGTGGTGCGCCCCATCCCCCTCCTCCTTCGAATTCTTCTTCCCCTCCATATCTTTCTCCAACTCGTCCATCCCGTGTTCCGCTTCGTGCCTCGAGAAATATTTCACCGTCCGCTCGTGAACCAGATGGAGCACGGCCAATTGATTCTCCAGATAGGCGCACTTCTTCAAACAATTCTCCAACTTGTTCAAACTGCGATTATCGTCCTCCTCCTTGACCAACAGCTCCTCGGTCAGCTCGTTGATCCGCTCGTTGTATTTCCTCGAGTCTATCTCGACCATCCTCGTCAGTTTCTCGTTCTCCTCTTCCAACTCGGCCATTTTCGCCTCGCACGACAACAATTTGTTCTTGCACTCCGACACCTCCGATTTATTCAGATCAGCGATCCGTTTCAACGTGTCTATCACCGATCTCATGTCGTTCACGCGATGCGACAATTCCTTCCCGTATGATATTCTCTCCTCCTCCACCACCTCCTCCTCTTCATCCTCTTCCTCCTCTTCCTCTTCGTCGTCGTCGTCGTCTTCGTCTTCGTCTTCGTCTTCGTCTTCGTCTTCGTCGTCGTCGTCGTCGTCGTCAACGTCGTCGTAGTTCTCCTCCTCCTTGACGTAACGTTCCAACTCGACGCCTCCTCCGCCTCCTCCGCGATTCGACGCCGCGTTTTTCGAGCGTTTCTGCGTCCCTTCGCGGTGGCCGTTGGGGGCAGTTTGGGGGAAGAGGGGGTCGGTCTGGGTGGAGTTTTCCCTCGCCCTTTCGAGGATAGAATTATCGTCGCCGTTGACACCGGTCGATCTACGACTTGTGCAACTGAAATCGATCCCGGAGTCCTCCTTTATACCGCTGTCGCTCGATCTGAACGTGTGGCGATCCGACACATCCGACTCCATAGCGTTCAACGACACCCTCTTTTTATCGTAATCGTAATCGTCGTACGAGCAACGATCCGCTTTCCCGCGCGCTTTTCGGCTCGCGGCTAGCTCCGCGTTGTTCTCGCTGTTGTCGCTGGAGAACGGGTCATCGCTGTAAACATATTTCCGGGTGAGATCACGCTGCGCGTCCCCTTTCTCGACAGATTTCAAACTAGTAACAACGTAACCGCTCTCACATTCCCGTATCCCGACCAATTCCTTCCTCAACAACTGCAACTGGAGTTGCAACTCGTTGGCGAGGTTCGTCTTCTCTTTCACCTCGTTCTCGAAATCTTTCGCCCTCGACAACACCTCTTGCAGCCTGCTCTTCGTCTCGCGCAACTCCTTCTCCGTGTCGATCGTCTTCGTCACCATCTTCACGTAATCCTCCGAGGCCCGGCTCAGGTTGTTCTCCAACGACTCGATGTCCTCCGTCTTCTCGTCCAGTATACGCTTCAACTCGTACAGGAGGCAACCGATGTCGTCCGCTTCGTCCCGAACCTTGGCGAACAACNCGGGGAAATGAGCGCGTATCAGGTCGTGGAAACCTTTCAACTTCTCCTTGGTCAACACCAACTCGAAGCTGCACTTGTTCCTGTCCGTAACCAACAACTCGTTCTCGCTTCTCAGATCGCGCACCATCTCCCTCAGAACGACCACCTTCGACGTGATCATAGCGTTCTCCGTCTCCAGATCCTCGCATATCCTTCGTATACCCCTATCTTCCTCCCCCTCCTCCCTCTTTCGTTTCTTGTTCCCGCTACTGTTGTTGTCCTCCTCCTCCTCCCCCTCCCCCTCGTCGTCGTCGTCGTCCTCGTCGTCCTCCTCCTCGTCCCCTCCTCGTCGCATCAAACTGTCGATACGCTCCTTGTAGAACGACTCCACCTGGCTAACCGACCACTTCAACAGATTCCTCCCCTCGTCCTCGATGTCCTGTACGCGCTTCCTCCAACACGACTCCAATTCCTCGATCGCGACCGAGTACCGATCCACCAATTCCTGCCTGATCTCGTACTCCCGATTCAAATTCCCTTCCTCCAACGCCTGCACGCGCTCCGCCAACTCCCTGTTCCTCTCCCTCAACCGGTCGTAATCGAGGCAAGAGACGTCCGATTGCGTGTGCCTCGAGACCCGCGCCCCTTCCTCCCTGCCGCGCCTCCAGAGCTCCGCCTCCTCCCTCAACTTCNCCCGCACCGTGTCCGGCCTGTTCTCCTTCTCGTACTTGAGCAACTTGAGGGTGAAGAAGGTGTGGGATTGGGACGCGTTGGACGACTCGACCGTCATCCTCGACTGGACGAGGATCATTAATTGGCAAGCCTCGAGGGCGGTCGTTACGTGGACGAATTTCAAGCCGTTGGCGAACGTCGACCCGTCCCTCCGCGTCGTCACCTTGAGCGGCCTTCTCTCCCGCTCGTGCCCGATCAGAAGATCGTACACGTTGTCGTTGTAGATCTCAGCGACCGAGATCCAAACGGAGGAGATGCACCCGTCGCTCCACAGGTCCCTCTCCTCGGTCTCGGCGAGGCGGGGGTTCGAGTTGTCGAGGGACATTCGGGCCTGCGTGTACTCCTCCTTGGCCATCACGTTCGGGTTTATCAGACTGGTCCTGTTCAATATCTCGAGGGTGCGCTCGGGCTCGTCCAACGCGACCACCGTGTTGTCGTCCGCGATCTTGTACCAGGGGGCGAGGGTGCAGTTTACGGCCGAGAACAACAGCTCGATCGAGCGGGGTATGGCGCCAGGCTCCTCCGGGGTCCCGTACAGAGGGTACGCCTTGCCGGTGTTCGACGCCCCGTAAGCGATCACCGTCGAACTCTCGCCCAGAAGCAGGTGGATCACCTGCCTTCGCACGCTCTCGTAAAAGAAATCGGCCTGCTTCGTCTCCCCGTCGAATATCCTCGTGAACGAGTACCTTCTCTCCGCGTTCTCCCCCCTCCTTACGTGGAGAGTGGTGGTCGAGTCGGGCAACGCGTACGTCTCCTCGGCAGGGGTCGGGTCGAGGGTCGGTTTTATCCTGAGGTACACGTCGCTGGTCGGGTGGTGGGGGCAAACGGACAAAGCGCGGCAACGCGCCGTCACCGAGCTCTCGTTGTCATCGTTCACCCTCGGCCTCGAGGAAAGCATGCTCCAACTGGTATCGGACGATCACGAGATTGATTCGGAGGAAAGGTGGGAGGAAGGGTGAGAGTTTCTTACCGGGTGCGTGGAAATTTTAAATCCCTCTCTCTCTCTCTCTCTCTCTCTCTCTACGCTTGCTTTCTATCGATTCCCACTCTCGATTTTTTTTTTAATCAACGATCGCGAAACGCTCGAGGATCGTCGAGTTGGAAGGGTTCGTGCCTCGATCCATGTTAAAAATTTTCCGCTTTCCGTTTAAGGTTACGCAACGAGTCCCTATTATCGAAATTATTACGTGTGAAGGTAACTGTGATAATTTAACACTGGTGAGACCGTCATTTGTCCCTTCGCCGTGTAATTCTCCCCGCCCGATTTTACTTTTACATCGTTATTCTTTTTCCGATAAAATCGATAATTATTGCAACCGTTCCGTTCCATTCGTTCGCCAGAGAGAGGGAGGGAGGGATCTCGAAATATCTTCAAAGTGGGCCGCCAAGGGGGGATTTATACCGCGCGTCGTTCGCCTCGTTAAACGCAGCCGATCGAGAAAGGGAGCTGCTAATAGGCCGATCCACGAAATCCGGCTTAATCTCGGCATCGGGAATCGCGCGTCGCGGCCACAAGTCGGCCACTGTCCGCCAGGAGAAGGTCTCGAACAGGCCTTATTGTGGTACGCGCCGGTGTCTTTCACAATCGACCCCTTGTCGACTCCTTTTCGTTTTCGTCCGCCGCCTCTCTCTCTCTCTCTCTCTCTCTCGTTTGCGCCGCCATTGGTGGTCTTTCTTTTCCAACTTTCAATGTGGCCGTCTCGAGCTTCCAAGCGCGAAGTTGGAGTTCTCGAAAATCGAGCAACAAGTCCAAGAATTCCAAGATGGATAAGAAAGGTTAGGCGTGATTGAGAAATTTTTTATCGACGTTTTATTTGTGTAATATTACAGTTGGTTGATAATCTTTTCGTTGTGGAGACAAGAAAGTATGGTATCTTTCGATAACTCTATCGATATCGAGGGATACAAGTGCGTGGAAAATAACAACCATCTTTATGGGTTATTCATTTAATACCGACAAATTTCGCCTGCCATCGAGATTCGTTCTTTTATAGCGTCTTTAATGGCGGCACGAAACGGCACCCAGTTTCCCTCCCTTCCCACGTAATATGCTCTTTTTTTTCAGCAGCCCCCTTGACCGTGAAACGAACGCGAGCAAACGAGCTGGAATAGTCGAGATAAAATACGATTGTATTCCGACAAGTGAAATTGCCAATTTTGGACCGAATCACGATCAACCGCGACTCAACTAAGGAAATAAGAATGTTGAGAGACTGAAATCCAATGTAACGCAAGAACGGTCTCGTCATTTGTTTCCATAGCTGAGCCACCCCAACAGTTGTGAATGAATGTTTAAACTCGAGTAAGGAGTACAACTTTCGTTAAAATTTCCTAATTCGAAAAAGTGGAGGAGTTTTCGCATTCTAAGTAATCTTTTTAATAAAATAAAGTTTTTATATCACTTTTGTAACATTCCTGTGAAACATCTTTCCAAATATCTATAAAGATCCGTCGAATGAACGGGTGACGTGGCAATCAACGCGTTAAACGATGACAAGTCGGAAGCCAAATTGGAGTTGGGCGTATCTCCAATCACGTATATTTGATGAAAAACAGCAGCATCCCTCTGCCAAGAATATATCGAGAAACGTCGCTGTACAAAAATTAAAATTAATCGAAATTAATTGAAAGCCGTCCACCATATTGATTCACTTTTGTTTACCTTTTTAAATATAAAACAAAGTATTGGAAGAATTTCTTTACGATAAAAACTTGGAACGCATAAATTAGAATCTCTGGTTGGGAAAAACAGTAGCATCCCATTGCCAAAGGATTAAGAAACATTGCTGTACAAAAATTAAAATTAATCCAAATATTGAAAGCCGTCCATCATATCGATTCATTTTTATTTATGTTTTTAAAGTATTGAAAGAATTTCTTTACGATAAAAACTTGGAACGCGTGAATTGCAATCTCTGGAAAAGAAAATTGTTATCCAATCTCAAACTTAATCCAATATTTGGGCGCTTGGAGAAAAAAATAGCAGCATCCCATTGATAAGAAATCGATCGAAAAACATTTGTACAAAAATTAATTAAACAAAATTAATTGAAAGCCGTCCACGATATCGATTCATTTTTGTTACATTTTAAATATAAAACAAAGTATTGGAAGAATTTCTTAACGATAAAAATTTGGAACGCGTGAATTGGAATCTCTGGTTGGGAAAAACAAAAATATTCCATTGTTAAGGAATCGATTAAAAAACATCGACAAATGTACAAAAATTAAAATTAATCGAAATTAATTGAAAACCGTCCATATCGATTCATTTTCATTTACGTTTTAAGTATTGGAAGAATTTCTCGACAAGGAAAACTCGGAACGCGCGAATCTCTGGTTGAGAAAAGATGAACTGTTATCCGATCTCAAACTCGATCCAACATTTGACTGCTTGGAGAAAAAAATAGCAGCATCCCACTGCCAAGAAATATCGAGAAACATTGCTGTACAAAAATTAAAATTAATCGAAATGTTGAAAGCCGTCCATCATATCGATTCACTTTCGCTTACCTTTTTAAATATAAAACAAACTATTGGAAGAATTTCTTTATGATAAAAACTTGGAACACATGAATTGGAATCTCTGGAAAAGGTGAATTGTTATCCGAACTCAAATTTAATCCAATATTTGGGTGCTTGGAGAAAAAAACAGCAGCATCCCATTACCCAGAAATATCGAGAAACATTGCTGTACAAAATTTAAAATTAATCGAAATGTTGAAAGCCGTCCATCATATCGATTCACTTTCGCTTACCTTTTTAAATATAAAACAAACTATTGGAAGAATTTCTTTATGATAAAAACTTGGAACACATGAATTGGAATCTCTGGAAAAGGTGAATTGTTATCCGAACTCAAATTTAATCCAATATTTGGGTGCTTGGAGAAAAAAACAGCAGCATCCCATTACCCAGAAATATCGAGAAACATTGCTGTACAAAATTTAAAATTAATCGAAATGTTGAAAGCCGTCCATCATATCGATTCACTTTCGCTTACCTTTTTAAATATAAAACAAACTATTGGAAGAATTTCTTTATGATAAAAACTTGGAACACATGAATTGGAATCTCTGGAAAAGGTGAATTGTTATCCGAACTCAAATTTAATCCAATATTTGGGTGCTTGGAGAAAAAAACAGCAGCATCCCATTACCCAGAAATATCGAGAAACATTGCTGTACAAAATTTAAAATTAATCGAAATGTTGAAAGCCGTCCATCATATCGATTCACTTTCGCTTACCTTTTTAAATATAAAACAAACTATTGGAAGAATTTCTTTATGATAAAAACTTGGAACACATGAATTGGAATCTCTGGAAAAGGTGAATTGTTATCCGAACTCAAATTTAATCCAATATTTGGGTGCTTGGAGAAAAAAACAGCAGCATCCCATTACCCAGAAATATCGAGAAACATTGCTGTACAAAATTTAAAATTAATCGAAATGTTGAAAGCCGTCCATCATATCGATTCACTTTCGCTTACCTTTTTAAATATAAAACAAACTATTGGAAGAATTTCTTTATGATAAAAACTTGGAACACATGAATTGGAATCTCTGGAAAAGGTGAATTGTTATCCGAACTCAAATTTAATCCAATATTTGGGTGCTTGGAGAAAAAAACAGCAGCATCCCATTACCCAGAAATATCGAGAAACATTGCTGTACAAAATTTAAAATTAATCGAAATGTTGAAAGCCGTCCATCATATCGATTCACTTTCGCTTACCTTTTTAAATATAAAACAAACTATTGGAAGAATTTCTTTATGATAAAAACTTGGAACACATGAATTGGAATCTCTGGAAAAGGTGAATTGTTATCCGAACTCAAATTTAATCCAATATTTGGGTGCTTGGAGAAAAAAACAGCAGCATCCCATTACCCAGAAATATCGAGAAACATTGCTGTACAAAATTTAAAATTAATCGAAATGTTGAAAGCCGTCCATCATATCGATTCACTTTCGCTTACCTTTTTAAATATAAAACAAACTATTGGAAGAATTTCTTTATGATAAAAACTTGGAACACATGAATTGGAATCTCTGGAAAAGGTGAATTGTTATCCGAACTCAAATTTAATCCAATATTTGGGTGCTTGGAGAAAAAAACAGCAGCATCCCATTACCCAGAAATATCGAGAAACATTGCTGTACAAAAATTAAAATTAATCGAAATGTTGAAAGCCGTCCATATCGATTCATTTTCGTTTACGTTTTAAGTATTGGAAGAATTTCTCGACGACGAAAACTTGGAACGCGCGAATCTCTGATTGGGAAAAGGTGAATTATTATCCGATCTCAAATCCAACATTTGAGTACTTGGAGAAAAAAATAGCAGCATCCCATTGATAAGAAATCGATCGAGAAACATTTGTAAAAATTAAGATTAAACGAAATATTGAAAGCTGTCCACCATATCGATTCACTTTTGTTACGTTTTAAATACAAAACAAAGTATTGGAAGAATTTCTCGACGACGAAAACGCGCGAATCTCTGGTTACGAAAAGGTTATCCGATCTCAAACTCGATCGAACTAAAAGAATAAACATGGCGAATCGACTTACCTCGATATAATCCCCGTTGAGAAATTATAATCGATATCTTATCCATTGACGCGAAACTCGTTAATCCGAAAGTTTGCCGTTGTCAAGCCGGCGTTAGAAAGCGGAGAATCCGCGGTGGAAGACGGTGGGACGTTCTCAAGGAGCTTGCTCGTTCCGCTTCCGTGATATTAGATTTATCCATTTGTTTGCCGAAAGTCTCATAAATATAAGCTCCCTTTGACAGCGTCCCACGGGTCTTATCCGGCGCCATGATCTTGCGTGGGTGGCCGAGAGAAGATGAAACCGAGGCACCACCACCACCACCACCGCCGCCGCCGCTG